AACGTGATGACACCGCGCGAGCTTATGAGCTTCTCTCGCATCAAGTGCAGACTAAACAATAAAATTCATGTCTTTTTATTGGTGTTTGATAGGAAACGATCACCAAGGTAGAGGAATCGGGCACTCAACTCGCACAAGAGGCGTGTTCCGTGCGGCGTGTCCCTGTTTGCAAAGAGAGTTTTGGTTCTTGATATTTCATATCGTTTACAATTTTTTATCATTTTGTTTGTGTTAATGTTTAGTAAATCATGATTCGTCCTTCGTTTGTGGCTTATTCACATCCGCATCCATCACATTCTCATCTTTCCGATTCTTTTGTCATCTACCTTTCTCGCATCTGTTTTTTTTTTTCTCCTTTTCCTTTTTCTGTTCTGTCCTCTCTCCTCCTGTTCAGTCGAGCCCCGCCTTCCCTCATATCTGAACTGACCACACACTTCAGGCATCCTGCCACTCGAATATTTGTTTGCTTAACCCGCGCGAGATGGAGGACTTTTAATCTTGCAAAGCAGGCAAAACACACTCTATCTCACTTACTTCTATCTCTTTCTAGTTAAGACTGGGAGATTGGAAGTAAATGCATGTGTAGGTTAGGCCTTCGTGATGTGGAAAAAAATATACAAAGGTGCTAAGAAAAAGTGATGCTGATAGCGATGTGTTAAAAGTTGCCGCCGTGATAGCGCGACGCAATGGAATGATAACGGTATGCAGCGAATAAGATAAGTTGAAGTCGATAACAAAACGGGATACACACTGAGGGCAGAACAAGGTGAAGTGAGGTTAGTCATGTGGTGGAAGAAGGTCAGGCCAGTTCTCAGATGTGTTTGGCATAATCTGTTTGACTGGTGATGGAGAGCTTCGGTGATACAGCGGCTACATAAGTGTCACGGAAAGGCGTGTAACATAAATTTGCAACAAATGACATTACCTGAATACAGCTGGCAGGTAAGGCAGCTGGTCGGGCGAGGTCAGTGCGCCACGCACTGTCACGTTACGGCCGTCAGTGCTGCCAACGTCGATGCTAAGTCCACCAGCTGATTGAACCGTCATCTGATTGACGGAGTGAACGGTCAGCTGTTCAGATGTGGGGGGCTGGAGGGGGACTGGGCCCACCCAACCCCCCTGGGGACTTAGAGGTCGGCTGGTCATGTGGTACGCCATGGGCCTGGAGGAGCAGGGCATGGTAGCCACGCGCTGCATGCCCTTGGGAGGAGAGGGCACGGCACTAGCGCCATGGAGACTGTTGGTGACGGGGCCGCGCGGTGCCACCACAGGTGCCAGCGAAGGCGGCACGCCGTGAGGACCCCGCTGTGCCATAACCGGTCCCAAGGACGGAGGGACGCCTCCCCCCACCCCGTATTCGCCCCGCTGGTAAAAGGGCGAACTGCCCACACCGTACTCCCGCTGCGGCAGGAACGACACGCCCCCGCCAACGCCGTACTCGCGCCCCGGGTACGTGGAGGGCACCATGCCCGTGATGGTGTGGTACGGGTTGTAGTTGACAGCCATGTTGGGGGGCGCCATCAGAGTGCGGTAATTGTTAAGCGGGGGGTCCAGGCCCGTGGGGAGGGTCGCCACCATGCTCATGGGGATGACGGGTGCCGCCCTCATGCTGGGGGTAGAGATCTTGCGCATGGGAGCGGCCGTGGCGGTGCACAGTGCCTGGCGCTGCATGGGCGAAGGGACGCTGGAGGTCGCGACGCACGCTGAGTGCCGCGGCGCCGGGGAAGTGCTGCTGACGGCGGCTTGGGGGGGCGCCGCCTTCGGCTCGGTCTTTCCTTCCTGTTGTTGCTGCTCGGCCAACAGCTCGCCGCTTCCCACGGGTACGATGGTGAACACGTGATGCGTCCCCTGCAGCCGCACGCCCATCCTCGAGCCGTGCGCGCCCTTCACGGGGCACGTCGGGGCTTGGCTGTACAAGGGCGCCACTGCCACGGTGGGCACGGCCGAGTATGTGGTGCCAACGCGATCTGTCACATATACCACGGGCGTGCCGTTGCTGTGCCTCCCGGGGTGCTGCTGGTTCACTGCCTGCACACCCATGCCATTCACTACACTTCCGTCACTGGGCCACAGCCTCGAGCACGGGGGTTCCACTAAACTTGTTTTAGGCCTGCAGCCGTTCGCACCATTGCTGTCCACGTGCCCCTGGATCTTTATGACGGTGGGTGGAAACACCTCCGCTTTCTCCGCCTCCGCCTCCAGCGGCAGTAACGGAATTGCACTGTCTGGGTCATTATCGAGGTCATGCTCAGAAGTTGGGTCACCAAGTTTGCCCAGGCCTCTCACGCCGTTGCAAGGCTTACTCTCTGCACCGATAGATATCAGAGGTCTGTGCTCCTCGTCAGTCGCGATTTCTTCTCTACTACTGTACCTAACCTGAGAATTCACTCTATCGTCCTTATCCGGCATGGCGAGGAAATGAAATATCACAGACTGAGTGTAATTACCAGCTCACAAGTGTAAACGACCGAGCACGTCACTTTCACTAACCTCTCTCCCCGCTGTCTACCAAAACACTGCGGTGCTGCCTCCGAGCGAGCGAGGCTCCACCGCTTCCACTCACGTTTGCCGATTTACTTTTCGTGTTTATAGCTCGGTTCTCTGTCGGGTCGCATTCCCTTGTTTCTCTCGCGTTTATCCATTAGTTCCCCTATATAAGGGCTATTAGACTTATGTATTAGATGAGGTGAAGAGAAGAAATAAATGTTTTATAAAATGAAAGTTTTGCCGTGTGCTGGCAATACCGCTATGACGCAACATGTAAACACATGGATGGGTCTACTCAAGATTACCCGTAATACTTATTTACTCCTGATTTATCAATTGATAAACGAATATTCATAATTAGTTGTTTACATGCAAAGATCACAGTTATTTCGTGCCAGACAGGAGGTACATTATTAGCCTAACATAAGTATTAGTTAAACATCAGAATCACAAAAAACGGAAATAGAAAACGTCTTTCGGACGTAACCAACCAATCGTTATCTCGTGATAACTCGCATGCTCTCCAGGAAATCACAGCAGTCTCCATTAGCCTTTACCTGTGGGAGAAAATTAAGAATAATAAATATGACCTCTCCCAGCCTTTCCCTGCGTGACCTGACATCCCTTTCGCCTCAGGGGACACGATTTCTCATCTAATGATTTGCTTCGCGTTTATTCTGCCTCATACCGATTCATGAAGTATGATAAATTCACTCCAGATCTAATCAATAATGCAATTTACATTTCCCAGTTACGAAAGACAATTGTAAATCGTCTTCTCTATTGTATTTAAATAACTACAGTAAGAGTTCAAAGCAGACAATACATGTAAATGTACCTTATCTTGGAGCATTTTTTTCACTGATAATAAATTTCTGCTGAGAGCGTATCAAGGAAGATATTAACCTGGGAATCGCATACTTACGTTGTTTATTTAATAATAATCACTTCGTACGTTGAAAATACTGCATTGCATATATATATATATATTTATATATATATATATATATATATATATATATATATATATATATATATATATATATATATATATATATATATTTAAGGAACCAACATATTTCTTAAACATAAACTAATTTGCCTTACAGAAAAAATATAGTGATTAACCAACAGAGTTCCATACATTAAAGCAACCGTTACCCTCCCACGCCAAAACGTGTCAGACCTCACCCCATTCCAGGTGATTAGAAGGTAATAAAGACCGGCTAACCTGCTACCAACTACCTTTGGTGGTGACACCTTTCTCGGCTCCTGCCTGACACAGGTAGTCGCCGCAGCAGGTAAATATGCTATTTTTATGGCGTATGTAGCATTCTTAACAATTTTGTTATTTATTTCTAATTATTTATTTCCAAACACGCAAAAGTATATTGACTTCACGACTCCCATGAGTAATGTGCGGAGGGAAATCAACAAGGCTAAAAGCAATGCATACAATGTGACTCCCCAACCTCAATCAGAAAGCGTCACTCCTCAGTAAATGCTGCGAAAATTCCTCCATTATCCATACGCAGGTGCTTTCTTAAATTAAAGCACAAAAATGAAATTGATTATCATTGCCAACTGATATCCGGTCTCTCTAAAACCTGTGGAAAAATTCTTTTCACTCGTCTGCTCCACCAAATCGAAAATCAGAATCAAGTCTTTGGTTTCCAAAACGGAAAAGAAACACAAATGGGTTTAGTCAAGTTCCCAGATGGAAGTAATAAGCAGTCTTCTTACTTCATAGATTGTAAATGAGCATTCGACAGAGCCTCTCCTACTGCAACCCTACATGAATTAACTCTTCTAGGAGTTAAGGGCAAGCTTCTGCTATGGATAAAGGATTATCTATCTTTGAGAAGAGCAAAGGTATGGTACCAAGGCACCTACAGTGCTTATGGTGAACTAGAGTTAGGCCATGAGAATCATTCTTGGTTGTCCAATGACTGTTAAAATTCTTGTCATGAGGAAAGAGCTAGACCTCCTTTCAGTTTACAGTCGTATCATCCAGGTCAACACTATACTTAGCATCAGACTTCTGCACCTTCAATTCAGACCACAAACTTCCTTTGCTTTATCCAATAAGATTAATTGCAGACTTCGGAATGCCCGGCGCCCTCGATACACCAAGCTAGAATGGCTACTGCCGAGTCAGTAGCTATATACCATGCCATAAAAATGGTAGCTGTTTTTTTCTAACAGCCAAGGTACACTCTACTGACTTATTGCATTTAGTCCAGGAAACATGGTAACTAATAATATCCTACACCAAACTTCTTGCCTATCAGAGCAGGGTATAAAAGTGTCACTATACTGGATACCCTCTCATATAAGAATATCAACCTGTGACAAGGTGAATCAGTTAGCAAAACTAGAGTTCTCACGTGAAGAACTATACTATGCAGTACCATTATCTCTCAAACAATTAAAAAGCGTGTTTTCAGCTGTCTTCAAGATAATAAGGGCCAGGTAAGGACCACTGAAAAAATGAAGAAAATGGATATGGTACT